CTATCCTCAACTGTGATTGGTCCGCTGTTTCCGCGTAGTGCGGGGTAGGTCTCAGAGAAGTTTCGTGTCCTCCGTGCAAGTTGCGATTAATATTAACATTTTTCTATAAAAAAATGTGCAATAATGTCTTAAATTACGAAAAACTTGTCGTACTCTTATCGCGGAACAAATTAGTATATAAATTTCGGGTGGCGATCAATCGGCATTCTTTTTATCCGTGAAAATTGTCAGTCGCCGAACATTCCGGACAAAGTTGAACGGTCCGCCATTACATGTTCGTCACTACGCGGGAAAGTAAGGTAATTCTCCTCCTTCTTAATCTTATTGTATCGCGTCAGATCATGCATAATTGACGTTAATTAGCATTTTGGTTGATAAAATACAAGAATCTTGCAATAGGGTGGGTAATTATTTGTGTGAAGTGAATTATTGTCGTGACAGATGTTCGCGAATCTTCTCGTATTACGTTCGAGCATGCATCGAATACTTTAATCGCAATTAATTAGCAGTTAAATTGATGAAATATTAAAAATCGTGAAATAAAGTGCGTATGTTATCTGAGTGAAATGACTGGAATGACATATCTCAATTTATTTCACAGCAGATACTCGCGAATCTCGGTTAGCGTAGCCTTGACCCGTTTGATTAAAAAGAATTGAGTCGAAATAAAGAAACGGGGCTGAATTTTCGCGAATATCAATTATATCGTGGAACTTCAATGATATGTATTTGTGTATTTCAGAATCCGGCCGAGCCCCAGTTCCTCTAGCCATCCTGGAGCACCGGTGCTGTCAACAGGATCACCAGACGGGTATTCACGTTTCATCAGAAAAGGAAGGAGACGAGGTACTCATGGTTCATCAGAGATTAAAGAAGGAGACCAGGTATCCATGGTTCGTCAGAGATTAATTGGTAAGGTGTTGAGTCAATTGACTATTGATCGATGTTCTCGCGAATTTCTTTCCTATCGATTTAATTTTTATCCGTGTGTGAGTCAATAATGACATAATTCTGATTCATCTCATCGAAGAACTCGTAGTGAGTGCTATTTCACTTACTGCGAGCTAAAGAAGATAATCCTGATTGTGAAGAGCGAAGAACTCGTAGTGAGCATTTTTACTCATTGCGAGCCAAGGGCCTCGTATAAGTATGACCTCGTGTAGGTATAATCTTGTATGTCTCAATAATCATTTTTTAGGAAAAGGTTAATTTTTTATTCTTGTGTAAAACAAACGATATGCATTCTGAGTCTCGTAGGAACAGTTAAAAACTAAGACGTCCGAAAATAGTGGGTCAGGCAGAGTCTAAAAACTGCCGAAGGGTACACGCGATCGAGGAATACAGCTGTCAGGCTATAAATCGTACGAGAGTTTGCTTTATATTCTGTAAATTTATTTGGACATTTTTCTGCCGCGTTTATATCATTCCCCACGCGCTCCCAACGTTCGGTCATGGCAATCAAGGGTGCTTCACTTTCCTTAGTATACTCGATTACCTGGAATCGAAAGTTTGTAGGTTCTTCGATCGAATCACGACTAATAGTTTTAGTAAGAATATTAATCATTGACAAAACAATGATTAACATTCTTTGAAAAATAGTTACTATTACTTCTGACTAAGAAATTTTTATTTTGATTTCTCTTACAAAATATTTGTACAATCTTTGATAGCTATTTTATTTGTCAACGAAAGAAATATCAATTATTTCTACTATTGCCCGAGTATTTCATATTCGACACGATTTCCATAGCATTCTGTCATGTTTAATAAGCTAGTCTGGCTAGCCGTTATAATTACTCTGTCTGTACGAGACCAGGATGCGTCTCGTTGGACGAAACGCGTGCGATGGCGAGGTTGACCCGTTTAAAAAAGATCACCCTCGCATCTGTTGCGCTCAGCAACAGATCCTCCGCGTCGGAGGAGAGAAACACGTTTCTCTTTTTTCTCAGTCACTCTTCAATTCCATGAATTTCCAACAATAAGCATTTCATTTGTACCTATTCCATTGCAATTGTCTTTAATAAGCCATATTTCAAACCGAAGGCTTTTCATTCAATTTTATCGCAATTGTTTCCAACAAATTACGCTCGTCGACATTTAATTTTTGATCGTTTCCGTATCGTAATAAGAATGATATTTTTAAAAGGAAAATAAGCTTAGTTGATCCCAAAGGGTATGCCCTCTTCCCAAAGCGAAGGACAGAGAAACCGCGGAATGATAGGTGGGGGTACCGCGAAGAGGAAAGAGCAAAGACGCCGCGAAGGAGGACAGCAGAGCGGGGCCGAGTGGTGGGGAGACAGGCAGCCGTGGAACGCGCATCGACAAGGACGCTGTTATGATTCCACCGGGCGACGGAACGGGTCCGAGCGACGGAGAAAGAGGAAACCGTTCCGAAACTGGCCGTACGCGGAGGGGAGAGGGTAGAATCAGCCGGGCTTTTGAAAAAGTTTTATCTTGCCGGCGCGCTACGGCCTTTCAGACGCTACCGAACACCGGTACGCAGTTGTTGCCCGGTCCGCGTTGTCGACTTCAGAGCGTCGCGATTTTTTTTGTTCGTCGAGAACAGCCCGCAGTGACCAGTGAGTGAGGGATTCAGCAGCCGAGGGGCACCGGCCATGCGTTGACCGGCTCGTTCGACAGTGGTTTACCTGAGAATTTCGACCAACAAGTGGACGCGACCAACCATGAGGGACTACACCTTGGTGCTGCTGGCGCTGCTCGGGGCCTCTGTCATCGTCGCTGCTTCTCAAGTGAGTAAATTCAACCCTTCAAGCGACGAGCTTCGTCTCTTAAAAATCCGAGTTAATGGTAGCCAAGTAGTGAGTAATGTTACAAGTACTTACGTAGGTATTACGTTCCGATCGAGCACGATCAATTTCATATTGAAGAAGCAACGAGGTTCATTTTTGCATTATAGGAATGCAAGTTAACAGTTACCTGGTTAAATGAATCGTACGTAATCGCTGCGATCAACCACGATAAATTTGACATTGAATATAAAATGATCAATGCCAATATCGAAAGTTCATTCACGCGATTGATATCCCCCCTTAATTCGATCAAATCTGCAAATTGAACTACATACGAAGTTCAGTATAGGCTCTACCAAACGACTCTTGAACTCAAAGCAATCTCTGCGAGTTTAAAAGCAAAAAGTAATACGTAATCAACTTCAATATTTCGTGTACATGTGTAAGCATTTTATTAAAAACCGAGAGTCTCAACCTGTGGATTCGGTGAGATGAAAATGTCTCGGTTTAAGAGTCGGAGAGAGCCAAATTGGCACGTTGCTACTCGGGATTTTTGGCAACAGCCGAAAGTGGTAAAGTTCAGTCACCGCGATTATTCGGCTCGTACCGGTGTTACGTGGAAAGCGATAAGAGATCTTTCGCATACTTTACGACGCGGTTCCTTATCTGTCGCTTCGATAGCTTTAATACATGGCAAACAATTGCCTTCTGGCATTTTTCTAATACGCCGAAATTATGATTCATGTAAGATAGGCGGTGGATCGAGCGGTACGAAAGATCCTTAAAAAAAATGATATGTAGTAAATGAAATAATTAACAGCAAACTGTTTTATGATAATGTACATTAGCAGATGATTTAGAATATTTTACGTGCAACTTTTGTACGTGTAAATTATTCGAGTTGTTGCAACACGCGTGTCCTTGAAAACAAATTCGGTACGCTCGGGGTTGGGGGCAACCCGAGCTGCTCACGCGTTGCTTTTTTTTTTACACCTTCGGTTTGTTTACTGCACGTACTCCGTACGTATTATTTCTCAAATACATCGCAGGATACATTAATATTAAATTCTAATTCAGTTCAGAGTTCGAACGACAAGGATAGGAAGATCGCGATTAGAAAATGAAGCGTATTGTTGAAATTCTAGTTTATTAATTATTGTAATCAATTCCGTAGGCTCTTACGCTGTAACGATTATCAGGAAATCACGTCACCGTAATCACTTTTTTAACACAGTTTGCATACTACAATGATAAAGACGTATATTAGTTTACAAGGCTATTAGTCGAACGATGTTGTCGTTCAATGTAGTTGAGCGCGATAATGGAGTGATTCATTATTAAATTCAAATAGTGTAGTTAGATCATCGAGGATAATTTGTATGTAATGAATGAAATTGTATTGAGACAATTTTCTTGATTGAGGAAATCTC